CCCTCCCCTCCCCCTCCCCCACCTGGCTACTAGAAACCAAGCGCCTTCCTCAGCTGCACCCTTTCCCCCATGAAGTTCTGAATCACCTCAGACCCACAGCAATGGAGTCAGCTGACCATGAGTCCAAAACAAACTTTTTCTCCTCTAAGTTGTTCTTGCCAGGTGTTTTGGTCACAGCAATGAAAAGTTAACTAACACAGTGCTGAGAAAGAAGCCCTCCACACTAACTATTGGGGATACAAATTTCATAATCTACTTACTAGAGAAAACTGAGATGCTGTCATTATTTTTTAAGGCTTCATCTACCTTGACTCAGTCTACTGATGTGGGCTGTTGAGACTCTCAATGCTGGTGCAGAGACATGTTAAAATAATTTAAAAATGTTGACAACTACTGATGCCATTTTATAACCTAATACTAATCATAAAAATATCTTTACAAGGGAGGCATTGTCCTCTACAATGAACTCTTTTTTAAAAATTCAGCATTTGAACCTCTTTGTGTGTTTACATGAGTTTTGGTAAAAGTCGTGTACCTGCTCTTTGTAAAAAGTAAGAAAAGCAAATACTCACTCTTTTCATCCTTGATCTCTGGGTACAGAATAAATAACCTAAGCTCAGGCAATCAGATGCCTGTGAAGGGCCTTTGCATCTGGAACAAATAACAGAAAGAAGAGAGAGTTAAGATTTATTCTACTGGTGGTGGCATCAAGTGTTCAGTGGCAGTAGTGCCAAGAGCATTCTGCAGTCATGGCGGTGCCTTCAGCAGTATCCAGTATCCACTGATGGCAGTGCCAGTGGCTGTTCTCAGTGTCCAGTAGCAGAGCTGTGTCACCCCGACCAGGCTGTTCCTCTGCTGAGATCTTGGCCATAGTTCTAGACACCTGACTATCCTTCATTCCTGTCTGGCTCTCCATGGTCTAAGGATTCCATAAGCTATCCAATATCCTTCCAAAAAATTCTCTATGCATTGCAACAATAAATGTTTAATTTGCAGTCAAGAAACATCAGGCTCTGAAAGATTAAGAGTTGTAGACTTGGGTGTGGTGGCACATGCCTATAATCCCAGTGACTCGAGAAGTTGAGGCAGGAGGATTGTGAGTTCAAAGTCAGCCTCAGCAATTCAGCAAGGTCCTAAGCAACTCAGTGAGACCCTGTCTCTAAAAAAAAAAAAAAAAGCTGGAGATGTGACTCAGTAGTTAAGCACCCCCGAGTTCAATCCTCAATGCCAAAAAATAAAAAATAACTGTAGTCTTACAACAAGTAAACAATACAGGTAGATTTCTTATAGAATTCTGAGTTTATCTAACTTCTGATTATAATTTTTCTCCTTTAAACCACTATATCTAGATTGCAAACATAAATGTCACATGTCACATTATAATGTGTATTTTTAATGCCTTAGCAAGTTTACTGGTTAAACTAGTCAAAGCATGTGGTTAATTTGTCTTCTTCTCTAATGTATATAACTGAGAAATCACGGAAATAGCTAACATGTTTATCCATTAAGACTAAAAAGACAATGGACCAAGAAAGAGCTATCCAAAAATCCCTTTGGACAAAGCCTGCCATATGTGGGAGAGTTACCCAGTTCTCTTTACAAATGGGTATAAACCATCAGTCAGGCTTAAACGGTGATCCAATGTACAAATGACTAATGATGAGAACGTTTGGATCCTAATGGGGCTTTGTCTCAATGGGCTTGAGAAGGTAGGAAAGAATGACTTCTTCTTTCTGAGACTCAACAGGCATAGCATTCCTGAACTTCTAGCAAACCAGAAACTTCATGTATGGCTTCAGAATAAACCACTAATCCCTGCTATTTCTTGGGTATCTAGTAAAAAAAAAAAATACCTCAGAACCTACTACCTTTAAATTTCATCTCATCTCCAAAGTCCCCATTATCTGTGGAGATAAAGGGGGTAATGACTAGAACTAGCACCTATGACCTTGGAAACATGAGGATTTCACCAAGAAACACTATCATTTATGTATGTCCATAGCTTTCGTCACCCACAGGATTGTGAATAGGAGATTTGATTATTGAATTCTATCTATTTAGCCTTCGGTCACTCCTTCTGATTATGAAGTTTTGATCTTGGTGTATCAGTACCTAAGATGTTGGGCAAGGCTGCAAGTTATGAAGGGATTTTGGAGTTTGATTTCTCTTAACAGAAAATGTTTTTCCTCTTCCACTTTTACATCAATCCTGTACATGTAACCTTAGTTCATACACTTTTTCTTAGACCTGGTAAGAGGGCTATCTGAATTTGGGTTTAATATATACTCAGTTTTCCCAAACAGCTCCTAGCATTACCTGGTAATTCCCCTTTCCTTCCACTCTTTCCTCCTCCTTGTCTGTTCTTCTAATGTTCTCCCTTCAATTTTCATGGGGCCCCTCCCACCACCTTTCTTTTCCTTTTCCCTCCCTAGCTTCCACATATGACAGAAAACATACAACCCTTAACTTTCTGAGTTTGGCATATTTTGCTTAATATAAAGTTCACAAGTTCTACCCATTTTCCTGTAAATGACATAATTGCATTCTTATTTGTGGCTGAATAAAACCCCATTAGATATAAATACCGCATTTTCTTTATCCATTCATCCATTGATGGCCACCTCGGTGGGTTTTGTAATTTGACTATTGTGCTGGTATAAACATGTTTGTGCAAGTATCACTCCAGTATGCTGACTTTAATTTTTAAGATAAATACTGAGAAGTAGTATAGCTGGGTCACACAGTGGTTCCATTCCTAGATTTTGAGGAAATTCCATACTGATTTCTATAGTGTTATACTAATTTATGATCCCACCAACAGTATAAAAGTGTTCCTTTCCCCCCACATCTACTCTAACATTTATGATTGTTTTGCATCCTTGATGGTTGCCATGCTAAATAGAGTAAGATGAAATCTCATTGTAGTTTTTATTACCCTAATTGCTAATGATGTTGAACTTTTTTTTCATATATTTTTGGCCATTCATATTATTCTTCTTTTGAGAAGTGTCTGTTTAATTTATATGTTCATTTATTAATGGGATTTTTGGTGTTAAATTTGGGGGGTTCTTTATGTATTCTGAATATTAATCCTCTGACAGAAGAGTAGTAAGGAAAGATTTTTCTCTCTTTACATACTTCATTGTTTCCTTTGCTGTGCAAAAGTTTTTTAATTTGATGCCATCCCATTTATTAATTTTTGATCTTATTATCTAAACTTTAGGAGTCCCATTTAGAAAGTCATTACCTATGCCTATATGTTGGAGTGTTGACCCTACATTTTCTTCTAGGGGTTGCATAGTTTCTGTTTTACTTACTGTGTTGTTGATCCAGTTTGAGTTGACTTTTGTGAAGGGTGAAAGATAAGTATTGAGTCCCAGTTTTCTACATATGGATATCTATTATTCCCAGCACCATTTGTTTAAAAAGGCGTCTTTTCTTCAGTATATGTTCTGGCACCTTTGTTAAGGATCAGATGATGATTCTGCATGGGTCTGTCTCTGTGTCTTCTATTCAGTTCCGTTGGTCTAAGTTTCCATTTTTATGCCAGTACATTGTAGTTTTGTTGCTATAGCTCTGAAGTATGATTTGAAGTCAAGTATTGTGATGCCGCAAGCATTGCTTTTTTGGCTTGGAATTGCTTTGGCTATTCTGGATGTTTTATTCTTCCAAATGAATTAGGAATGTTTTTTTCTAGTTCTGTGAAGAATACCATTGGTATTTTGATGGAGAATGCATTGAATCTGTATATTACTTTTGGTAATATGGTAATTTTAGCAATATTAATTCTGTGTATATATGAACATGGGAATCTTTCCATATTCTTGTGTCTTCTTCAATTTCTTTCTTCAGAAAAATGGATTTTAGAACAGAAACTAAATAAGCAAAAATAACCATGAAAATGTGGAAAAAAGAACAATTTTCCTGCCAAGTCTTAAAACATGTTATAAAGTCATAATAATTAAAATAGTGTAGCACCAGATTATAAATAAATAGCTCAATGATAAAGATGATATTTTAAGTCAGTGGGAATAGATGACTTATTAGAATATTGGATATCTATCTTTAAAAGTAATTATGTAAGTACCTTACACATTACACCAAAGTTAGATTACAGATGAATAAAAAGTACTAGAAGAGAGCATGAGAGAATAGATATATATTATATTCACATGTATAATAAAATTTCATGTTTATGAAATCAAATATATTTCATATATACGTAATTTCATATATATGCATGAAATTTTGTTGTTTATTATAGTTTTCATATAACACAAAACTTAGAAGTTATAGAAAGATGAATACAATTAAAATTTTCCTGGCAAAAAATATTTTCCAAAAGCCAAATTGAAATAAAAAAAACTTGCTAGGTCTGAGGTTGTGGCTCAGAGGCAAAGCATTTGCCTAGCATGTGTGAGGCACTGAGTTTGATTCTCAGTAACACATATAAATAAATAAAGGTCCCTTGACAACTAAAAAATAATAATAATAAAGAACTTGTTAAACAAATATGTTTCTCAATACATATCTTGCTTGAATTTTCACCAGTCTATGACATTATAACCTAATTTTTTATGCTTGAAGTCTTTTTCTCTTCTTTGGTAGAGCTCTTTTTTTTGTTGTTTTTGTTTATTTGTTGATATTGTTGTTACTTGTTGTTATCCTCATAAATTCTTTTCCCCATGCAGATTTTAATATTGTTGTTTTTCCAAAGTTAAGCCCTTGGCACTGCTACTTTTGCTATTACTAGAGTGGTTTTAACAATTTTGCAGCATTAGATAACATCTCTCCGTGTATGACCCCCACTTCTATATTTCTGTCTTTGGAAACGTTTGTATATTGTGTTTCCTACATAGCTGTCCACAAGCAACTGAAAAACAACTGTTGAGATATAATATTAAATTAATCTTTAAAAGGGCTAATATTCAACAAGAATTAACAGTGAGATTAGAAAGACAGAAAACATTTACACTTTGCCTTATCCACTTATCCACTGCAAGAGACCATTTAAAACAAAATGCCATTTACGGGCCATATCTCCACAATGGCTTTCTACTCTTCTCATTATGCTAAAACACTTCTGTACATCAACATAGCTACTTCCAAATTCCTACAAATTAAGGTGTAAGAGGCAAATTCAGGAATGAATAAGTGTTTGTCAATCAGCTTTTCATCATCGTGACCAAAATACCTGACAAGAACAACTTAAGAGGAGGAAAAAATTTTCTTTGGGCTCACAGTTTTAGAGGTTCAGCCTATTGTCAGTGGACTCCATGTCTCTGGGCCTACGTGAGGATGAATGTCATGGTGGAAGGGCAAAGTAAAGGAAAGCTGCTCAGCTCATGGCATCCAAAAGAGAGAAAGAACATGAGAAGATAAGGACAAGACATAGGTCAAGGGCACACACCAGTGACTTAATTCTTCCAACCACATCCCACCTGCCTACAGTTCCCACCCAGTAATCCATTCCTATTATTAACACATCAAATAGATTAAGCCATTGATGAGGTTACAGCTCTCATAATATAATCATTTCACATCTGAAACTTTCTACATTGAATACCACATTTTCAACACATGAGCTTTTTAGGGAACACTTCTTATTCAAACCATAACAATGTGCTCCCTCCTACTGATGAGTTCAATGAAAGCAAGTACTTTAGAACAGTGACTGGCATATGTATTGTGTTTAATAAATGCGTTGAATATAAATTCAAAACCTTCCAAGTTGACATGGCTTTAAGTTGACTCCTATAACATGGGTTTTCAATGTTGAAGTACTCTTAGGGGTAAGATAGTGTTACATAAAGAGCTAATCCTCTATATCCAACTATACCATCAAATAAGGTCATATGCCTTTTTTGTTCTCCTCCCTGTCCTGATCTCCATATAAAGTGGGAAGTTATTATGGGGTGTTTATAAAGTTTCTCAAGAACTACGGTCTAAATTTCCACTGACCAGTCTGTCTTAATTTAATTAATCCAAGGTCACAGGTTCCCAAGGTACCAGGAGAAATTAGTCATAGGTCACTAATATCAGTATGTTCATTACTAACCTCATCATCCTCCCTGAAACCTGGAAATTTCTTAATCTCTCGTCTTAATGAACATTATCATCTTCTACTCAGCTTCCCAAGTCATTGCGCTATAAATCATCCCTGACACTTTTCCTTCGGACTGTATTTAATCTGAGTCCTATCAGTGTTATATTCTGAAGGCCTCTCTAATTTGTTCCTTCCTCACCACTTTCTGTCTCAGTGGAAGGCCTTCTTCAGCAGCTCCCTAATGGTTTTCCCTGTCAATCATTCCTCCACACCAGCATCAGAGAGCTCCACCTAATACATACACTTGCCGACATTGCTGTCCTGCTGGTGAAGTTCTGTCATTCCCCGTGGTTCCAGATGAACTCCATGCTCCATAGCATGGCAAGCCTCTGTTCACCTCTCCGCTCTCATCTTCCCTTTCATTTTAGGCATTTCAGTAGTTCCTTGAAATCACCATGTTCTTTGTGGCCTCCATACCTTTCAATAAGTTTTCCTTTCTGTTGGGAGGTTCCTCCCCTGTTTCTTTCTTGTCGAATATTCCTGTCCTTCAAGATTCCACCTGGTTCTACTTTACCTAAGAAGTTTCACTTTTTGCCTCAGTTCAGGTGGGATGTTCTCTCCTCTGCTCTTATTGGGAGCACCTACTCAGTGCTTGCCTCTCTAAATTTACAGCTTACCGTGCAATAGAATCCTCATCTGTTCATGAATCTCTCATTCCACAAGAATGGAAGCTTATTGAAGACTGATTTTTATGTCTTTTATTCCATTTCCTGGGTGTAGCAGAGCTCCTATTGTGTTGCTGCACTATAACCTATTTTGAGATCAAAGAATGAATAAATGAGACCATATCTTCTTTTCTCCTTAGGAATTTTGGGCCTTGGATGAATTCTTTTGATAAGGGGATGAAATAATTACAAAGGATTCTCTTGGTATATTCTCTTAGGCCTCATTTTTCTTTCCTCTTAGAGTTGCAATAAATCATACAGAATTGCTTTTATAACTTGAGGAAATGATTGTTTGGAGACATGCTCAACACTGGAGAGAAAGATGGACTGGGGTTTCATAATACTGGATGCTTGGAAGTCTATGCTTTCTATAGAGACAAAGAATATATTAACCCAAGTCATTAGGGGAAAATTCTGGGCATATTCCATGTACAGGAAAAGAGATAATTTTATTTTGACCTTCCCTGGGCTTTATCATTTGGTATCCTGAGGACAGTGATAAGCAATGTCCTTGGTTGGTTCTTTTTTATAATGCCACTGGAACCTGGCACCTGAGTGTCCCACAAGCCTCCTTTCTGTATCCTCATCTCTTCTGCTCACTCAATCCTAAACCTCTTTAGAATTTCCTAAGGTGTTGTGGACAGATATGGAGCAGACCAGAAACCATCATCTGAGCCCCTACAAGTATCATCCCTATTTCTCTGTGCCTCTGTCCTTCCTTTGTTACAATGACTACAGTTCCACACTCCTACTGCATGTTTTTAGAGCACTATGGGAAAATGAAAAAACAATGAACTATATCATCTTCAAAAGAAATATCCCATCTAATATGCCTTATTTCTCGGTTTAGTTCCACCCTCAGTGCTGTTTATATATTATGACTTCGGCTCAGAATTGAACAATTCAATCCCATTCAACAAACACTTGTGAGGCCCTCAGCCAGATACTGGAATCCAAAAGAAACATTGACGACTGCACCCACTGGGGCCTTGTGAGAAGAGAAGTTCTGGGCAAGGCTTGGAGCTCTGCAGAAGGATGAGAGCACTCCTTGCCAAATCTACCCTTAAAGTAGTAGAATATTCTAGGTTGCCTCCTGGCCCTAGCATGGAGTCCCCTCATATGATCCTCTTTCCTTGAGTGTGGGCTGGACTAAACAACTCACTTCTGAACTCAGAAGACAGACTGATGTGCCACTTCTAGGGTGTTATTAAAAAATTTTTTCTGCTTCCCTTTGGGGTGTTGGACTGATAGAACTTGCTGAGGCAGAAAGAAGGATCAAAAATAATGTCCAGATTGCATAACCAGATGGATGTGTTGTGATTGAGTAAGGGACCGAAGATTGAATAAGAAAAAAAAAAAAAAGTTTAAGGAGGAAAAGGTTTTTAATCATGATTTCAGGTTGGGACATTGAATTTGAGATCCTATTCAGAATGTCTAGTAAGCAGTTCAAATTTAGGTCTGGAGATGAGAAAGGAGGTTTGGGCATGAAGATAAATTTGGGGACATTCAGTACGTTGGTGCTGTTTATCCACCAGGAACAGAGATCATCATGGGAGAATATAGATGGAACAGAAATGAGAACTGAGCCCCTAGTAAAAACTTACTTGAGGAAGAAGGGAAAGTTAATAAAGCAAAAGAGAGTGAGAAATAATTGTCAGGGAAGTTGGAGGAAATCCAGATGTTTGCATTCTTGTGAGCAGAAGGGGAAGGAAGTTCCTCAAGAGGAAGGGAGTAGTCAGCTTGACGGAATACTGAAGAGAGGATTAGGGTTTTCAGGAAGGGGAAGCATTAATCTAACTTGCAAAGCCAGTCACCTTGACAGGATGGCTCATACTTGCAAATTTGAGTTAGCAAGCACACACACACACACACACACACACACAAATGTTATAAATAACATTTCACATAGCAAGTCCTTAGGAGATCTCTATATCGATTAATTTTAGTTTGATTTAATTTGATTTATGGGATCTTCATTTCAGAAAACCAGAGCATAATATATTTGAACTGTTCACACTATATTTAAAGCAACTTTGCAAATTGTTTCCCAAAATTACTAGCACTTTTTCTTGCCAGGTGATGGAAAGCTCAAAAACAATCAACTCACCCTTCTCCTCATCTAATAGCAATTGCCATTTTGGCACTCAGATTTTGAACATATTTCTGTATATGACTGAATTTAACGATGGCATCTCTTAGCATCCTTCTGCTAATAGTGCAGTCTACTTAGAGTGGCTCTTCTGGGCAAAAAAGGGATCAGAAGTGTGTGATTAAGAATGAAGAATTTTCCAGTTTTGAAAAATGCACCATTTCAGGAAAGGAGAATCCTTCATTTGGCTCCTCAGCACCTCAGTGGCTCAGCCACACAAAATAACTCTGGGAGAATTATGCTACACCACTGAATCAGTACGGCACGTCAGTTTATTCATCGTCTATTTTTGCAACGGTCTCTTTGAGCTGATGCAAGGATAAATAAATATGGCCTGTGCATAACTCTGATGCTCTCAGAAGATTTAAATTAATAAAAATATAAACTCACAGAGACAATCAGTTCTCCTTTCTCTTGGCCTTGCTTTTGTAATGTCCTGGTAATCACCAGGATTAGGGTAGGCAGATTAACTATGCTCTTGGCCCTCATTCAAAGACTGGGTGTGTGGCCTGTGGACCAGACCAGAGGTTGCTTTAGTTTAGCCCAGGGCAAGGATCCTGGACCGAACTGCACTGACCAGGGCAAGTTCTGGAACACTTGTGCTGTGACTTACAGTCTTTTATGTATTATTACAACACATACCTGAGAAGATCTTTTCCGTGGATTTCTCTTTTTGTGAGCAAATTAACGCTGAGATGTTGTTTTGTCAATAGCCAGACGAAACTGTGATTGGCTCTGTCTCTCTGAGTTGAGAAATATTTGGAGACTGTAATAAACTGGTTTGACCTTTAGGCATTCTTTGTTCTCTCAAACTTTATTTTTAAAAGTATTTTTCTGATTATAGCTATTCATTGTGTAAAAAAAAAATAGGAAAAATATAAAACATTGAGAACAATAAGAATAACAATCATGTAACAGTGACCAAGACTAATTCTGAGAATCAGTGCACTGGTTTAGTTTATGAGATATTCATGTGAACACGGGCTAAAATCTCATCTTACAGAATGAAAACAGAAGAATTCCTGTGTGATGAGATAAGAAAGTAGAGATCCCAAATAGGGAGAAGGTGAACAAATGAAGGTTCAAATATAGAAAGCCTTATCAGAAAAACTTAATTTTGAGTTTAGTGTCATAATGAGCTTACTGGAAACAAAGGGTAATTTTTGACATGACTATATCTTAATTATAAGTAAAAAAAATGCTTGTTTTTGTATGGAAATAAGCTCTTTGAATGGTAGTTATGGCTAATGTCTAGAGGATGCACTTCATGTGTATATAAAGTTAAAAACAATGTTGACCCATTTTGGTTATTTTAGCAACAGATTTTCACACATTATCATTGTCAGTATTTTATGGCTGAAAATAACAGACAACTATATATAAAAATAATTTATAAGATTTTAGATGACCAAAAAAAATCAACTCATCAACCAACTGAATCCTATTTGTGTCATTATTTAGTTTAAACTGAAAAAGTGTCATGGACCTAGTTTAATGCCTGGTACATATTAGGTGCTTAATAATGTTGAATGAATGAACCACAGACTAAGACTCTTAATAGCAATGCAAGTTTTTCCTTACAATATATAATTGTTAAACAAGGGTTTTGCCCTACAGTATTTGTCAGTAAAACCTTTAAAATATGATTAAGCAGACACAGTGATTACTTCTATTGTTAAAGAATTTCGCATAGTTCTAATCTTCATATCCTTCTCTTTCTAGATTCTAAAAGATTTCTACCTTGAATATCATTATCCATAAGTCTCTGTTCCAGAGATGTCCCTCCTAAGAACTTGGAAATAAGGACAATATAATTTGCCATCAGAGTTAATCTCTGAAGTCCCCACAAAATGGATCAATACATAGACCTAAAACAACATGGGGGAAAAAAAAGCTGGAAGAGTTAGGGTATAACCTGTTTAAGATATTCACATATTTAATATAAAAATTTTGTGGTAAAAAGTTCATCCTACTATAGTATGGAAAAATAAATATCTTGAGAGGTTAGTATCAACAGTACCCCTTTTGATAATGTCCCAGGGAAATTTAGCAACTAATTTTCCAATTTTTCCTAAAATTATCCTTTAATAGATGATATGAAGGGCGGGTTATGTGGCTCAGGGGTAGAGCACTTGCCTGGCAGGAGTGGGCTCTATCCCCATCACTGCAAAAACAACAGCAAAGATGATGATTTAACAACTGACTCTGCATGTGTGTTTAGGTTGTGCCAGTCACCTTTCCAACTGCTGGAATCTATTAATGTATTTAATCCCCATTAGAATGCTGTGAGGCAGGTGCCATCACTGTCCTCATTTTACAGATAAGAGAACTAATTTTATAATACATTCAAGCGCATACAGTTATTAAGTGGCAGAGCCAGGATTTCAATCAGGAACCCCAAATCCAGCACCTGTGCTCTTAGCCACGCCCACCCCAGGCATTGTTTGATCATTCAACAAATACACACCAAATGCTTGTGGCTGTGCCAGGCATGGCTTTAGGTGCTAAAAGCCCAGCAGGGTTCGTAACAAACATATCTGCTCTCCTGGGGCTGAGAGTCTAGAGGTAGACAGAATTTAAAGCAACATGTAAATATAGAAGCACAAACTGAGGTAAGGTACTATAAAGAGAAAGTACAGGGTGCTCTGGAGTATACAGCAGGAGCCCTTAGGTAAGAAGATCAGAAAAGGTCTCTCTAAGAAAGTGATAATTAAGCTAAGATTACAAGGATTAGTCAAAGTTAGTGAAGAACAGGGAAAGAATGTCCCAAGCTTTGAGAGGAGCATGGTAAAGTGTTTTCTAATCCCTTTGACAAGATCTCATAGGAAGATGGATCTATCTATCTTAGGCAAGGGCCGTTAAAAGTAAATTTCTGTGTTCCCTTGTTCTAACCTCATGTTCATAAAAACCTCTTCTAAATTGGCTTCCCATACAATATGACAGTAATGTAAAGATTGTGCAGACATTTAGTGATTCTTTTCCATATTTTATTGGAGCATTACAATTGTACATAATGGTGGGATTCATTGTTACATATTCATACCTGCTCATGACATAACAAAATAATTTGGTCAATACCATTCTCCAGTATTTCCCTCTCTCCCACTTTTTAGCATTTTGATGAAGGGAGAGTATGAATTAAAAAATTCATACTTATACCAATCTCCAGTACATACTTTTCTTGTTACCAAGTTGTCAACTTGAGACCCTGAGCTTTTAAAGAAGGCCAGATCCTAACCTGGATTCCAAGTTGAGTTCCCACCCAGCTCCAACCTGCCTTTCCTTCCACAGTTCAGATATTTGTATTTGATCTCTCTCATTCTCTCATGTGTAAAGTTTTATAAATGCATTATTTGGCAAAGTAAAATAAAAAAGAAAGAACTGAAAAGAATAGGGTAGAGAGCACACAATCCATGATTATTCTGATTAGTTTCGCTGAAAAGAAAGTCCATCTGGAAATGAGTCTGAATGAAATCATGTTTTGAGTATTTAGAGAACAAAACAGACACCATCTTGTCCCAGCAGTCATGTGCTGAGTGAGTAATGCTGGTATTCTTTTATGAGATTGTTTTAGTATAAAACTGTAGTAAACTGTGCTGGTAAGTGTTTCCCCACTACAAGCATGGAAACGAGACTTACTCATAATATTTATTTCTTCTCCAGAGTGCCTCGCAGACCTGAGACATCTGAACTAACAAAAGCCCTCCAACTTATAATATAACACAGCTGCTCTGAGAATTGCGTGCGTGCATGTGTGTGTGCTGTGGGAGGGGATTTCCTTGTATTTATTCATTTATGTGCCCTCTGGAGAAGGGGCAAGATCAGTCCAACTGGAATTCTAAGTGTCTTTACTGGGCATTTGTTAGATGTGAAAAGTTGGCTCATGTCTAAAGTATCATCCAGGCAGTGTGCAGCTGAGCCATAAAAGATGAGATTGTATATTGTTTAGGAACAGGAATGCTAATGGGTAGCATTTTCATAGTGAACAATTCGTTTTTCTACCAATGCAGAATACATGCATTTATTACCAAGAATTGGGTATTACATAGAAACTATTATCAAAAGACATGTTGATGTAATGGTTTTTCTACCAGTAATTATTTATGATCAGTATGTTAAATGGCAATACATGTATTATGCTTTAAACAGAGCAGAAATAAAATAGTGATTTAATTCTTTAACTCTTTAATTTAGTTCTCCCAAATCGGTTGAACAAACCATAAGGAGATCTTAAATGTTACCAATTTAGGAAAAAATCTAGAGGCTCTAAGAAAAACGTTTCTTCTTGCTTTTCTCCCTCTTTTTTCAAGCCTATGCATTTGTTCAACTAGCTGAACTTGACCCCGAGATTACAGTGATGGGTAGGTCTTTAGCAGGGAGCTTGCAGTCTGGCTAGCGACGTGGGGTGAAGAAATCAGCGATTATGAGAGAGAGTGCAATTAAATGTTAGAGATACACAATGAGAACACTTGGGGAACAGTGCAGGCAAGGGTGGGGGAAATCTGGGTGACTTGGGGGTGAGGGGATAGTATTTGAGTTGAGAAGTTGTTAACTAGGCAGGTGTGAGGGCAGGGGGAGGAGTATAGCCCACAGGCCTCTACGAGATATGGGGATATGACAAACTTCCTTGACTGACTTGTTTTGCCTTGCATCTTTCTATGGGCATCAAGAAAAAAAATAATAAGGCAGGAATTCAAAGGAAGAGGTGACAAAATATAAAAAGAACAAACAGAGATCGCGTTGTTTCTGGAGGATGGCGATAGGGACTGACTAGCAGATCACTTGCCTTAGAAAGCAGAATCTCCCCAAAATTAAGAAGACATTTCAAAAGCCATAAATTTCATAGTCTAGATGTTCTAGGGCTTCAGTTGGAAGCATGCCATCTGATCACAGGATAACCCCCTTCGTTTAGGCTTTTGGGAGCCACTGCCCACCATTTTTCATGCTATAACTATTCCAGAGAATCTAATAGGATTCAAAAGTATCTTTCCTGAGAGTTCTGAGCAACTAGCTGGGGACAAAGATGACACTGGGAAACTTCTTTCAAGGCCTAGGTCACTAACTTTCCAAGTGGTAAACATGGTGGTGAGTGGCAGCTGTAGGAATGGGGTCCTGGAGCACGTGGTGCCGCCCCAGGTGTACAAGTTTTGAGAGCTGCAGATGAGAAACTCTCCAGAAATGAGCTTTCTCTGCCAGGAGCACACACTGCCCACATCACTCTGCACTTAATTTGGGCCACTGGGCTGCTGGATCCAAACATCTGATTTCCAGGAAGATACACCAGGCTTTTATCATTCAAGTAAACAAGAAGAAATTCTTTGATCAAAAGTCGGGGGGGTAGGAGGAAGAAGAAAGAAAATAAACCTTAAAAACATACTTTAAAAACAAATTGTAAAAAACAGGAAACAATTTTTTTTTACATAATAAGTGTGCAAAACTTTAAAATTTCTGATACACAAATCTACAAATTGTATGTGAAAGAATGTGTGTGAATGTGTGTGTGTGTGTGTGTGTGTGTGTGTTTGGTGTGTTTCACTACTCAATATCCAGTCCCCTTCCCTCCCATTCTTATAATTTGATATCACACATATCAAATTATAAAAGTTTTATCATAGAAATTAAACATTTGCTCACAGACTTGATAATTGGAAAATGGTATTTTATTATAACATGTATTCACATAATCACCTTGTACTTTCTTGATTAATGGAGCCCAGGGCTCTGTCTTTCATTCAAGACACTGAGAGTTCTAGATTTTTCCCTTCCTATGGCCAAAGTCAGCTTCCTGTGGGCACATGACCAGGATCAGCTACTCAGACGCTCTGTCCAGGATTTTGCATCTTGAATGCGTTCAGCAAAGACTTTAGTCACCAGCGAGGTGTGGGAGATGCACCTTAGCATCAGATTCTGGGTCAGCAGGGCTGGTGACCAGATGTTAGCAGAGACCATATGGTTCTTGTGCATAACTTTGACTGTGGTACCTCCTACCTGCTCATGGTCTTTTTACTCATATTTTGAGTTTGATTGTCTAATCTTCCTCTTGATTCATGAGCTTCACACTATTTTTCTTGCCATTCCCTTTCAATCTAAGGCAGAACTAGTGATAATCAGTCTAAAACAATGAAGAAGAAAAAATATTTCTTAAAGTTTTGCCTGCTGAAGGACACTGGCTCTGTCTTTTGGACATTTCAAGTTTTCATAGATATAAAAATGTGAACACTTCTTGTAATAACCTGTAATAACTTTCTTGATTAAGAAAGTCAGGATTATTGATAATATCTCCCCAAAGTGAGATCCTAGTGGTTGGGGGCTCAGCTGACCTGTATTAATTATGCCTGTCTTGATTGACACCTTACTATCCATAAGTAGATCTCTGGTGATCACAGCTGTTCTCTCAACTTTTTGCATTCTTAATTAATACTAAATTTCTCTTACATGGTTGAAAACCCTAGATCCAGCTGTTTTCAACAGCATGACTTAAATGCTAGATCCTGGGCTCTGCCTCACAGCTGAATCAGGTTAAAAATGTGACCTAATTAATTGTGTGGTACAAGCAGGTTTGAATTCTATTGTTGAATTCAAGCCAATTATATCTCTCACACTCGGGTGTCATAAAAACTTTAGTAAGATCTTGTCATGGCTCAAAGAAAGACATGCCTGATTTATGAATTCTTGATAGCACTTAACATTTTATTTGGATTTAGAGATAACTCTGGGCACATCAATCAAGCAAGCTGTTTTCAAATCTTTCTTCTCAGCTGTTCCTGGTGCCAGATTGTCTAACAAATAGAGTCATAAACAGATGTAATTTGTGACTAGCAGAGCCCCTTCTCTGTCATGCCACAGGCCAGCTGGTGGCACAAGCCACAGTTCAGCTCACTGCAGTCGACATCTCTTGCCCCATCCACATGAGCCATGTTTAAATATCACACATATCAAATAATAAAAGTTTTATCATAGAAATTAAACATTTGCTCACGGACTTGATAATTGGAAAGTGGTATTTTATTATAACATGTATTCACATAATCACCGTGTACTTTCTTGATTAAATAATATGTAACCATGGTAACTTGAAAAATAGAACTTGGGGGAAAAAATCAACAGGGTGTTATAGCCCAGAGACATGAGATGCACTAATATATAGGTGCACATGTATTTATGTACATGCATATATATGTGTGTGTGCATATCTGTACATATATACATATAGAGACATGTATGTATATTCTACTCCAAAATTCATCAATAGGATTATAATGCTTCTTTCCCTCAGATAACAGGGTCAGAAAATGATCAGAAATCTTGGAAATAAAGTCTATATATAAACATCAGGAAGGAGTTAGTATATATTCCACCTAACAGAATTTAAGAGTAAATATGTTATAGGATTTGCAACTGGTTACTGACCATAATGCACAAATAACTTAAAAGAAAAAGAGAAATTCTAGCAGCAAGTTGAGCAAAGGACATGGAAATTAACAGAATTACAACACCTAATAAAATTATGTGAAATTATATGAAAATCTCACATTCATCAGTATTCAAAGAAATGCAAATAAGAAACATAAATGTATATATGAAGTTTCTTAGAGTTATCATTTCACTTTGG